GATGAAATAATATTCCGTCTGTCACTTGTCACAAAATATATTTAATGTAGGTAGCCTATAAAAAAACATATTGCTTTTCTTTACAAAAAACGCAAGCACAATCTCTTGTTTGATGTGAAAATATAAAATACTGAAAATAAACGTTTAAAGATAAATGGCATAGGTGACAGTGATAAATGATAAAGCCACACATGAATATATTAAGGAAGGGATTTTGTATACAGCATCATAAGAAGGCCAATAAATCAAAGAGCACTGTTAAGACTACATTATGAGCTGAGGCTGAAAAATGTGTTCCCTTAATGGAGCACATTGAACCTGATGCTGAGACCTTGAGAAGGTTTTCAAACTCTCTAAAAGTTTAAAGAAATGCTAGGAGAATGGTTTTAACCTTGGAAACTTACTTGTGTGTGTGCTTACAGACACACAGTGTAGCATTTTGGTAAATCTCTCACTAATAAAGCACCAAAACACTCCTCAGGAGAAAAGCATGTTTCTGAGTGCGGGTGGTTGGCTATAAGGGAAACTAGGATGGATTATCTACATGTAATAATGCAGCTACACTGTTCTAAACAAGCTTATTATTTCCTATTCTTGTATAATGACTGTATCACATTAGACTTAATGGGGGGTTAACAGAATATCTATGTAAAACAGTGCTTTTTTCTTTGCTGCTTGTTTATAGTATTGTAAACAGTCATGTTCAGGGACATTATGCTGTAATGCTGCTGAGACATGAATCAATACTTATGAATTACAGTGCTCCCACTCTAATGGCAAGCTACTACAATGCTGAACGCAGCCTGAGATGTATTTAGTGCACACTGAAATGACAGATGCTAAACTGCCTGTGCACTCAGCAATTATTGAGGGGGATTCTGTATAATTACATGTTAAATGTACAGATTGAACAAGCAGGACACAGGAACAGGTGTCAGCCTCGAGATAAAATGTACCGTAGTGTGAAAAAGATGAAGGTCAATGTCCTTTTTCTTTCTCTAGGAGGAGAGTTATTGAGACTGTCAATAATGTGCTGCGCCATCATCATCTTTCTTAAGCTTTGGTTGCTATGCTGATCTCGTTTTGTTTAGATGTGGTATTATATGTGCTCAATGTCAATGTTCAATAGGACAATAGTGGAGTAAAACAACGATTCAAAAACGGTTTCATTCATTCATCTCACTTTTATCTGCCTGTCATGCCTTTGCTTTCTCCCTTCACTGCCCATTTCCTTGTTTCCTCCCTTGGTCTCTGCAATGCCTCTTATTGCCCTATACACGGCATTAATAATTGAGAGCATTTTATGCAGACAGTGAGTTTTGGTGCCCTGAGCCCATTGGTCACGGATCCATGGCACTAATGCTGGGTGGCAGGCCAGTTCCAGGCCCCGCACTCCAAGTCCGGGCTAGGGCACATCTGTCTGGCTGACTGGCCAATCTACGCCCCCCCACCCGATCCCTGAGCCATTACGCACTCAGCTGACATGTACACACACATGTGCACATACACACTTCAAAGATTCACGGACCATTTACTCTGTGATCTGTAGAGCTCCAATCACACTCTTGCACCTTTTAGAAACAACCGAAGGGTTTGGACAATGACTGACATTTTCAAAACCCTAAATAACTGTGAACCGCTGTTGTCCCTTATAAACACTGTAATTCTCACTAACAGACACACCATCATACACTCTCTCTGTTGAATCGGTATTTATCTTTATAGGACTATGATTACCTACTCTATGAAAAAGAGGGAATGGCTGTGGAGGAAAATATTATTTAGAGTTCATTGAAAAGGAAGGTAGTTTTATTAGACAGGAAGGCAGTTTAAATTGACCCGTTTTGGTTGGTTTAATGCCTATTGAAAAAGCCTGTAACTACTATGTGGCATTTATAGCGATTTTAAAGCTTCAAGGAGAATTTAAATCAAGCAGCAGAGCATTTGAGGACAACTTTAAACTCAGTAAGTTTGGAAGAACAATAGCAAGGTCATTGGCACTGTGATTTGTCTCATTGTTTGGATCACAACTTTATTGCTTAGATAGCGGTAAGCAAACAAAGAAATACAAGTGAAATACATTTTGATGAAACGCTCGCAGCTATTCTACATAACACATGCAGTCATTTTCTATATGATACAGTTAACTATCATTATATTTGTAACAATATTCTCAATCGCACAAGATATATATATCTAAATAAATAAATATTAAATAAATATTATGATATATCATAATATTTCACTAGCATTTTCTCATGTTTTTTAACTGCCCAATAATAGCAGGTGTATTGTCTGTTCATTGGCAAGCTAGCAGTGTACACCACAACTATGTGCATAGAGTAAGCCTATGTTACGTTTGATGCACAGCTCAAAATCTGACTGACATCAAAACATAAATAAACGTGTTCTTTATATTATTTTCCATTTAACTATTATGTGTAGCTGTGTTTAGGACATGTTGACTGCATGTGACACTTTATTAAGTACACCTTCACAATCCATGGTCTTCACTACAACAGCTCTGTCATAAATGTATCTGTGTGAAAGCGTTCATTTTTTGTTGGTGGAAATGTATTGATTATATTATATATTAATTAGTGATGTCATGGTAAAATAATGTGCTGCACTGGATTTTATTATATTGAGAAGTTTTTCAGCTTTTTTGTCATGTGGCAGAACATCAGACAGATCTCCCAATATAATGCAGTCTAGTAAAAAAACAACAGTAGCTGGTAATCCAATGGGAGGCTGTGGCTCAGTGGTATAGTGTGCTGAACTTTGAATCAGGGGGTAGCAAGTTCGAGTCCCACTGCAGTCAGCATGTCGTTGTGTCCCTGGGCAAGACACTGCACCCCAAATTGCTCCTGTGGGGATTGTCCTCAGTACTGAATGTATGTAAGTCGCTTTGGATAAAAGCTTCTAACAAGTGACATGTAATGTAATCCTATAATCTTATTAAACCCCTCTGTGATAATGTAAGAAACACTGAAACTTACAAGCAACAAAATGCAAACTTTATTTAAGAACAATTGTATTTGACTGCATTAGATTGTATAGGTGTATTATTCTGGATGTAAGGAAGATATGTACATGGAAAATTATACTGATGAGAGCAGGTATAATGTATAAGCTTAACAGCCACTCCTAAATATCACTCTTAAGGTCTGCATGTGAGTTTATAAAAGAGACAACATTCGCACGGGTATGTATGCCTGAGTAGGAGAAGAAGAGAGGGAGGTAGACAGTGCACAGAAGCCGCGGTGCAGGTGTGCAAGTGAACTCAAGAGAGTGTTTTCAATGAGATGAAGGTGGGAAGGGAGGATGGGATGGAAGGTGGAAGTGAAGGAAGGGATCGAGTGATAGAGGGAAGGAGGGAGGGAGGAGGAAGGAGCGCTCCAGTCCTGTCGCCTTGGGTGCATCAGCAGCAGGAATTGTTCTGTGCCCTGTGGGGGCCATCTGACTGTTCTGTCACCCTCCACAGAAGGCTGACTCTGCCTTAAAGTGCTCGGCCCCGCGCCTGCAGTTCGACATGCTTGATGTTTAATACATACAAAGGGAGAATATTGAGAACGCCTCGGGAGAAATGCAGTACATAAGCTGTAAGGGAGATTTTTTTTGTCAGTTTGTAGAACAACCAAGAATAGAGGAGCTCCTGTGCAAAGTGTGCGTGGGCAGGCTGTGAACATAATTGCCCAAAGCTGGAGCTCAATCGCAAATTTGAAATATACGAGATCCAAGAGTTAAGCACCTCTCAACAACATGCACTTGCAGTAAGTGGGGGACAGTTTCATACTGGTGATTGTGTAATGCAGTGGCTTATCTATGCCTGGAAACATACGTCACATACATTTGTGATGTTTCAGTCAAACAGTGAGGCTAACCTGAACTGCAATGCTTCTCCCATTGTGCCCCTGCCCCTGCAATCAGTGCTAGTGTGGTGTAATTCAGGGCATCACTTCTCAATAAGGCAGGAGAATGGGCCTCAGGGGTGACCCTCCTGCTTAAGTCAACACAATGAGTGTAATGAGGTGAAATACACACACATACATGCACACACACCCACTCACACACACTATGGAGATGGGAACCCTTGCTGCATAGTAAGAGGATTTCATTCATCTACATGCACTGAGCTTGCTTGAGAAGTTCTCCTCACACCCACACATTGAGCAGCACCGCAGGGCTTCACTCCGATCTTATTACAGGTGAGACATGTATTGCAGACTATTTTAGATATACCATAGTTGTTCTATATAGTTCTAGAAGCACTAATTTTAAGACAGAAAGCTATAATGGTTGTATCTTCACAGACAGAACTTGCATTTTTTGCAAAAAATCCTCCTCAATGTCACCTATTAGCGGAAGATTAAACATCAAATTGATATTAAGCCCCTGTTTCTGTTTGACATGCATGTGTCTGCTCTCTTGCACCTTACAGTCTCTGAGTTCATCATTTTCTGAGTCCATAATTAATCAGCCCTGCTATGTAGGACTGGTGCCTTTCTCTTATCATCATATAGGCTACAGCAGCAACCCACGCCCTCCGGGCCATCAGCGGATTAATGATGAGTGTCTGTGATAGGAGAGCCCCTCACAAAGGCTTTATTAATTAGCCTTGCAACGACACAGTGGCCGCAGTGTGCAACACATGCTCACTCTAATCAAAACTTTAAAGGGAACATGATCGACCTCCCAATCACCCACTGTAAGGCACTGCATGATATTAAACCTTGATGCGTGCATGCATTAAGTTGCGGGTGTGTGCAATGGGAAAGTGCACCGTTTCCAAATTAGCATGGTAACTTTCACACATCGCTGACCCACCCGTTATGCTGCACTTTACTAAGAAGCCTATGAATGATTGATCAGACAGGTGGGATTGAGCAGGAAATATTTCAGAGGCGATAAAGAGGGACGGGCGCGCTGAACGGTCCAAAACTGCCATATGTCACCAAAGTAAAACCGAAATGAAAGAGGTGGAGATGCATTGTACTCACTCGCCCCCCGGTGCGTTAGACGAGCATCCCGGTCTCTCGAGGCCAGCTCTTCAGATGAGTTCTCCTGGGACAGCACGCCTGGATCCTCACTATCATTCTTTGCGAAGCGCCAGCCTCCTCACAGCCTCCCCTGACTCTTCTTCTTTGGCATCACATGCAAAAACAGCTGCATGTCAAGTGAAATTCGCCTTCAGATTGTTGTTTCAGGGTAACAGTCACCCGTCTCTCAGTATGTAGAGCAGAAGTGACAGCAGCGGATTCCTATTTGAGGGGATGCTGACGCGCAACCGGAGGGGCTCGCCTCCTGCCTTTCTCATCTGGCTCCATCAGCTCTCGGTAAAACAGCACCATGTGACTGAAACAACTGTCAATACAAAATAATGAAAACATCAATTTCCAGTATGCCTTTCAGAATAAAACACTAATAAACAAATAAAATAATCCTAATGAAGTTTGGATAAAATAATACGATTAAAACTGAATATCAGCCCGCTGGAAATGTTATCAATAAACCACAATAGCATTTGAGAAAAACGGCTAAAAATAAATGGAATTAAAAAAAGTTATTAAAAGTGTTCTTGATTTTCTACTTATGTCAACGTTTGGTCAAATATTTGAATACAGTGTTATTTGTATTGTGTTAATTCATTGCTATGTGTAGGGTTTTGTTCTATACATTCTAGTGACAATAGAAAACACGTTGGCTACCTTCAGCAAGGTATACATATTGTAAAAATAATAAATAAAAGTGAGTGTTTATTTAATTCATAATATGTAGGCTATATGTAGCCAATTAAATCATATGAAGTTATTTATAGACCTTCATGTAATGTAAATCTGTTTCACTTAGCTTATATTAACTCTTGTCAGTGTTCTCAGGAACACAAGTAGGCCTGTGTTACAATGTTACAACCATCACAACCTTACACCAGCGAAGACATGCAGCCCTCAAGAACCAGACATAATGTTATATGGCTTCGTAGACGAAAATGGGCTTTCAGGTGAAAACTCGACTTACATTCAACATTTCTCTAGAAAAAAGACTTCACAGGTATGCTTCATTGTTAACAAGCAATGTGTTCAATTTTGCATCAATTGTTAGCCAACATGTTGTTAGCCACCTTAGCTCAGGCCACATTTATTTTATTGAATATTTGCACCCGCTAGTGGTTTAGGTGGAGCCTTTCTGGAATTGCATGGTATTATGTATAATAAAACAGCTTTATTGTCCGATGAATAGTTTGACACATCAGCATCACGTCAGCTATTTGGCCCATTTTAAACAACAAAGAGTGCATCAGTTGAAGGCCTACACATAATTAAGCTCTACTTCTCCAAATCTTAAATTGGTTTTGAATGTGGGGTTATAATTTCCTCACCTTATGTGTATAAAGCAATACACATTATTATCCTCCCCCAGAGAGCTTCTGCTTTCCTTGTTATTTTTCCTATTCAACGTGTGCATCTATTCTAGGACATAGACTGTGTTTAGGTTATAGGCCATTATAGTTAGATACAGTAATGGGGGGAGTATCCAACTAACTATATGCTTTTACTTTGAAGGAAACCTACTTTATATGCTGTGTTTTCCAAGTTTGTGTCTGGCTTGACGTAGCTGTAAAGGCACCCATTCAATAAAACTGACCTCATAGACGAGTGCCTCCAAGTGGCCAGCGTTAGAATAACATGAAATGTTGAAAAGCGATTCTAGGGACCAGTATTTTCACCAAAGCATAATCTCATTATTAATTATTGACATGCTCCTCATAATAGCCTCTGTATTTATTCTTCATCAAGTCTAGGATTTTTCTTCATGGCAAAATAGTGAAGAAAAATCAGACGAGACTCTGCCTCCAAGGGCACATGCATAATCTTAAACTTTTATGAGTATGGGCCTAAATAAAGAAACATTCATATGCTTGTGGGACAGCTGGTGGTAGCTGTAATTTTCAGCTACAGTATGTAGGGTAGTTTGTGTTGATAAATGTATTTTAGAGCTGAAGGGAGCAGCTCATTCAGCTGATTTAAGGTTATGATGTATTATTTGCCACAGTAGGTGTTACTGTAGGTGCACCAATGACAAATATTAGGTGTTTTCCTTGTTGCACAGCAGCTCCCTAGGTGACACACAGTATTTCAGCATGAGTAATGACATCTTTTGTATGCCTGTAGTGTAAGCAAACCACTGTTTCACCGCAATTATTCGGGAGAGTCATTCAGAATGCTGCAAGTGTAAGAAAATATACAATCTAGTTTGCTGTCATGTCTTCGTCAGCCTCACAAAATGAGGAATTGGCTGTAAGATAATAGTGAAACAGACAGTGTCTGCATGAAGAATTTTCGCTGGGCTATTTGAGCGCCAAAAAGTATGACAAGAGAAACAGAGAAAGAAAAAGAGTAACAGAGGGAAAGGCAGAGAGAGTGGGAACTAGAAGCGACAGCCTAAGACGCTTTCAGAGAGAAATAAAGGCTTGTCCTTTTGAGGTCTTTGCTCTATTGTTGTCCACCTACTAGCCAGACTCTTGGGTCTCCACCACAATGCAGGTCCCCTCAGAGCAGCTCACCACTGGCTGTCCTGTCACTTCACATTAGTGTCTTTGGGGAGAACAGCCCCTGAGGGCCTGGACACACTTGTCATGAAAGAAGTGTTCTAGACACACACACACACACACACACACACACACACACACACACACACACACACACACACACACACACACACACACACACACACACACACACACACACACACACACACACACACACATATACACACGTACACGCACACTCGCAGTCACTCGATAAGGAGGTGTTGAGCAAAAACTGGAACACAAGGAGAACTTCCATCAAGGCTCCAATAGAAGTGTAACAGTGACCTTATTTCAGCCTTGGCTTTTCTCTCTGAGTCTCCCTCCCACCCACCCACCCACCTACCCACCCAGATACACACGCACAGACATTTCTATGGCACACATTTAGAAAACATGTTCTCATAAGAAATGCAGTTGTGAATGAGTGAGCCTCGTGCTTGCAAGACGTTCAGCACAGTCACTAATGTATTCTACTAGCAGCTATTGCACTTACTGGTTTCATGTGTAACCGTAAAACACGACATCCATTATAAACAAATTGGTTAACGCCACTGACTACACACATAAAATTGCTCCTGCATTTATGTTCGACATGCTGGTGCCAACCTTATAACCTCATGTAATTCAGACAAACTGTGTTTTTGAACACTGTCTTAGGAGTTAAACGTTGTGAGTTGTGTGTAGCAAGATCAATAGTTCATCATCACAAGCAGAAATAATGGTTGAATATAATAAATGTTCATTCTTAAAATTGAAAATAATACATTGATAAATACAACCCCAAACAGAGCGTTTTTTAAGGGTGTTTAACTGTAGTATTTGGCCTTTGGAAATTGTCTTGACATGCAAGCACTTGTGACTTCTTTTTGTGTTGGTTTATAGGAAGCAAGTGGACCCTGAGCCCACATCTTCACCTGCTGATGGAAAAAGGTATAGTATGGTTAAAAAGCTCCACAGAAAGGCTGTAAGTGGACCTCCAGGGACGATTATTGATGATTGTTAAAAAATGCAGCCCAAATGGCTTGACTGTAGTTTAAAGCTCTCCATTGGCAACATTTGTACTTTCCAGTCTCCAAAAGGTAAACATTTGTATGACAGTCATAAGCACAGTCATAAACCCACGTGTAGCCAAAGTGTAATAATACTGCAGGATGCTGATCGGGTGCATATAACAAAGTAAAAACCTAAGAATGCTTATCTAAAATGTATGACAGGAGTTAAAGTAGAGCACAGACAAACAGGGTATCACACAGATGTAGCGGGGGGGGGGGGGTTGGGGTGATGTGCAAGCTACTTCAAATTGATCACGATGTTTTCAGACTGTTCACTTTCATGATGAAAGAGCAGCCTGAAAAAAGCCCAATTCGTGCTTGCTAGTCAGCTTCCATTAATACCCTGTGGTTATTTCTGGCAATGGGGGGGAGGAGCTCCTCCTGGGCCCGGCTGGACGCAGGTGGGCAGGGCGGTGTGGGACGGTGGAAGAGAGGGGAGGAGATAAAAGGGGAGAGGAGAGGAGAGGAAAGGAGAGAAGAGAAGAGAAGAGAAGAGAGAGAAGAGAAGAGACAAGAGAAGAGAAGAGAAGAGAAGAGAAGAGAAGAGAAGAGAAGAGAAGAGACAAGAGAAGAGAAGAGACAAGAGAAGAGAAGAGAAGAGAAGATATAAAAGGGGAGGAGAGGAGAGAAGAGAAGAGGATAGGATAGGATAGGAAAGGAAATTAAAGGAAAGGAAAGGAAAGGAGATGAGATGAGAGGGAAAGAGAGGAGAGGACCGCTGCCTTTAAAGGAGCTCAGCGGAGGAGTGTGTGATGAAATGAGATGTGAAGTGTTCCCTCACTCAGTCCGCAGACACGTAAAAGATGTATCAAGCTGGTGTGAGAGAGAGAGAGAGAGAGAGAGAGAGAGAGAGAGAGAGAGAGAGAGAGAGAGATGAGCGAGAGAGAGAGAGAGAGAGAGAGAGAGAGAGAGAGAGAGAGAGAGAGAGAGAGAGAGAGGCGGGACCTGCCTCTATGCACTCCGAGAGGAAGAGGGTGACTGAGTTGTTTTCAAACAAAAAGTGTGTGTGAAGAAAAGAAAGGCATGGCGAGAATGATTTTCAGAGGCGCAGCGCGAAAGAGGGAATTATCCTATTATAAATTGCATTAAAAATGGATAACAAATTATGATTTAACCAGAAAAGTACCTCAATAAGATTAAACCTATCGTTTGGAGAAGTCTCCAATATACTTGGGACCTGAAATAATTATATTATTTTATTAATATTGTTGCCACTGTAAAAACCCTCTAAATGGTGACCAAATATGAGAGTTTTCATAGAAGTAATAGAAGTGATAAAAAAAATTGGCTTCCATTTTGAATAATGACCCTATGCAGTGAAAAACTTGACAGGGTGCGTCTTATCATATAGTCACACGGTGGCGCCTGTCCTCCATCAGCAGCATCAACATTATAGCAGCTGATTTAACCCGATGTCCCTGATGTATATAGTGTGATCTTTGCTCAGCACACAAGCTAAAAAACGCTAAATAAATAAATAAACCTCAGACTGGGACAGTGACATTAGTTGTAAAAAAACAAAAAACAGAAGCCTAGTATGATTCTCAAACATGCCCCCATGCAAATACCTTAACTTGGCTTATAGGCTTAATTGCTTTATCTGTGGAATCAAGCCTTTTACATTGGCCTAATAGATGTGTATTAGGTCTCCATGGAAATTAATTGATTGCCTCTTATTTAAATAATT